AATCTTTTTATAAAAAACATGAAACTTTTTTTTTTTAATTATCTCATCTCAATCATTCCACAAATCTAAATTAAATATTTGAAAGCCTAACTGGAAGTAATATAAGTCTAGAAACTGCACCTCATATTAAATGAATTATTTATTATTTTGGAAGCAGATTGGTGCACTTGAGCACGTGAGGACTGATGGATATTATGTGTAAATGTACTCAGATGTAATGAGCACAGCTCCTGAGTAGGTCCACTAAGGTCCACTGTCCGCTAAGCCTCCAGCCAGACTTACACTTGATTGGTCAAAACATCATGAGGTTCATCTTCAGTAATTCATGGATGATGTGTCAATTTGCTTTTATTTATTAAATACATTAAAGCATTAATACTGACAGCCCTATTTTTTTACTCAAGTACCCCTGTGTTTTCTACTGAAGTACCCCTGTGTTTTTTACTTGATTACTCCTGTGTATTCAACAGAGTGAACAGTGAACCTTTACTCTTTATTCTCTATATGGATCCCCATTAGCCTTCACAAGGTGGCTGCTCATCTTCCTGGTTGTGTTTTGAAAATAAATAAATAAATATTGCACATTTAAAAAGGTAGAGATACTCAACAATTCTGTTTTCAAAAAAATTACATTGTGTCATATTGACTTTGCATATTAGCAATTGGTAAATAGCACATATAATAATAACTATAAACATTAATGTTCAGCACTACCAAAACATAATTTATTCTGTATTAGTGTTTAATTTTCTTTCTTTTTAGAGTGTCTGTTTTTAATTGATTTGATGCTAGTGGAAAGTGAAACTAATATATCTGCAGATGCAGTCCAATTAAGTTTGCAATGATAGCAGATACTGAGTGACCACTGAGGTAGCCTGGACAAACTGACCCACACAGCAGTACCAATAATGAGAGCAGAAACCTGGTGAGTCATAGCAGGTGACCGTTGGAAAGCCGTGAATGGTAGCAACAACCAAACACATGGTCCTGCAGGAAAACTCTGACTCTCCCATTCTCGTTGAGAGCGACACCAAACACAATTATTTTTACATTTTTTCCAGCCACCAGCATTTACCATACCTATTCTTACAGATGGAAAAATCAACTACAAATTCCTGTCAACATGTATGTGTATATAGGCAATAAAGTTATGTTGGAATAAATATTGTTAGGAAACTGAGGTAAAACATGACATGAGGCTTTGAAATGGTGGTAATTATTTTGGCAATATAATTTCTTTAGCAAAGAAATATCGTGTCTGCAAACATTGGAGTTTAAACCTCTGCAAACATGTTTTGAAATGTATGACATTAGCTGATAAGATTTTTGCGTTCTTTCAAATGTACTTTGTGTTCCTAATTCTGATTTAATAAACTCATCTAATTGCAGTAGCAGTACATATACAAAATATACAAATTGCAGGTTTTGTTTGTTTGTTTATTTGGTTTTGGTTTTGGTTTTGCTTTGCTTTTTTGCTTTTGTTGTTGTTGTTGTTGTTGTTGTTGTTGTTGTTGTTTTTGCTGTAGATAAATGTTTTGGTGCAGGGATGGTCCTCTTCCCATTTGTCTCTATGGAGAAAGTTATCTGAAATATTTCACAGTATGTCTTTAAATTTATCCATCTTCATCTTTTTCACTTATTCACTTACTGTTATTAATGCCAAAAACGTATACATTGTTTGCATGGAGAAAGTTTAGTAGTGGGATACTGGAGACATTTGAGGTAAAGGAATTATATCTCCATGAAGACAAAATCTGCTAAGTCCTCTACAAGAAAACTTACATAGCACACCTTTAAATACTACTTCAAAACATAAAGTAGCTGCCTAAAAAGTGTTTATTCCAAAAGCTAGTCTTAGTCATGGTGTGTCAAAGCTCCAAATCTCACTATAGGCCAAGTGTCTCTAACAGAGCAGCCTTCAGCAGAATTATAATGGCAGCACAAAGTAAGCTGTTCCAATACAATGGGAGAAAGAAAGCCTATTCATGCTTCTGAGAATAACAATGCTTTAGGAAACAAGACTATTTCAGTACTTTTTTTTTAACTGATAAAAACATATTTGGTACACTCCTGACAAGAAAGTCTATACAAAATCATGCTATTTTAAACAATATTGAATTCCTGTCACTTGGGATCTATATAGTTACTAAAATAAACACTTTGCAAGCTAAATGTGGAAACTAGGACACTCAAAAGCTGAAGAAGAGAAGCAAAAGAGAGACTTCCTTCACAATGTATCGAGTGCCTATGAAGTCTAAGTAGCAAGCTTTAAATCATGAGTTAGTTGTGCATTCAAAAGAATCCGTGTTATATAATGAAACAGCTGGAGAGACGGTCCGGTGGTGAGTCAGATGTTACTTGTAAAGACGGCACTGACGAGGTTGTGGTTATGAAAGCGAAGCAATGATCTATTGTTATTCAAATGAGGAAGAAGACTATATGCATACTAATACAGAAATGTACTGTTTTGCAGTTTATATCATTGGATTATATTGATCAAATTGTGTTCTTGTTTAGAATTAATTATATCAATGTATTTTTATTTGCTTGCATTCTGTTTAAGCATTGTGGTACACCAGACACCAGTTAGTCCCATGGCTGACACTATGGTCTGAAATTATAAATCTTTGTTTATATTCATATCTATCTCCTATGAACATTTGAAGTGATGAATGAAGCTATTAGGAGAGCATTGTATAAAACAGGAAAAATAACAAATGCATATCTATAGTTCAAAAATAATTGTAGTAAAGTGTTTAGTTGGGTACTGATTTTTAACTAAACACTATTTTTTTTTAAATAGCCAACAAAACCACCTGTGATAGGCTCAGGATCTTAAACTGAGGCACGCAATTTGTAGTTCACAGGAGACAAGTTAAGTAACAGTTCCACTGTTGTACGTCACCCGTTCATCATCACAGTTCATTCAAGCTAGTGTTTCTTAAGGTTGGTTACACATCACAGACATTTCACGGTCACAAAGAGAAGGCAAGATCGCACCAAGAGGTAAGAAAAGGTAAGACTGCACGTGGGATCTACGTGGCACCCCTAGCAGGGCATCACGTAGCTCTGAATGCCCCGCCTCTGCTCCAGCATTCACCCGGCACTGCTCCAAACATCCCGGAGCTTAAAACACACACAGACGCATAGCAACTCAACACGAGGGCGAGACGAGGGCGACAAGGGCAGTGAGAGACACCAACAAAAGTGGACCGGAAGTGTCTGAGGTCTGTGTCGTGAATGAAGCACATATACTGACTGACAGCTGACATAAATGACCAATAAAAAATGTAATCAATACAATTTCAAGACCACTGTTTTATTGCCAAGTACAATTTGCACTCAAAAAGGAAGCAAAACATAACTAACTGCAAATTAGTTCAAAGACAACACAATGTTGGTCAGCCAGTATTACGAATAACACCTTTGAATATGTATGTATTTATTTGTTAGCTGTAGCATAGTCCCAAAAAACATCATACCAACAATGCTTTATGTGGTCGGTTGAGTACTTTAGATGTTCAACTGTTTTGAAAAATAACAGCTCCACCTGAGATAGGCCCAGGGCCTTCAATTGAGGCCTTAAAAGTTTATAGTTGAGTAGACATAGGCAGGGTTTAAGTTATTCATATGGCAGGATTTTTTTCTTTAAATAAGTTAGCTTGAAATAGTTTTTAACAGTTTCATTTTTGCACTTCATTTCACCCATTCATCACCACAGTTCATACAAGTTAGTTTTTCTTGAAATTTGCTGTATATCGAATGCCTGGCAAATCCAGAAAGATATCTCTTTGTATTTATTTTATTTTTTTTAAATACAGATTGATATCCGTCTGGTCCCTATGCCCTCTGTCATGCCTCAAACATAGTCAATTGCTTCGCTCATTGATTCTGTAGACATCAGCAAGGTTTTTCAGCTCTCTGTGATTTGTTTTTCTACTTCTCATTTTTTCCGATATGATGGACAATACGTGTGTCTGCTAATCCATCTGTCAATCACATCCATTTGAAAATGGGGAGATTCACCACTAACCAGACTCACATCTTCGTGAAGAAATGTGTATTCTGGATCCCCGGCAAGTGCATCGAGGCCATTTCATGGTCACAAAGAGATCGTATGAAAAGGCAAGACTGCAAGTGGGATGTGCGTGGCACCTGTAGCAGGGCATCACGTGGCTCTTACATGAACGCCTTTGCTCCACCATTCACTCGGCACCGCTACAAACATCCCAGAGCTTGAAACAGGCGCAGGCGCATTACACCGCAGGACAACAAAAGGGAACCGGATGTGTGTGAGGTCAGAGGGCGAATGACGTCAAGGTCTTATGTTGATGACCAATGAAAATGGAGCTCCTGAATGGCAGAGCCCACCTGCAGACTGTCCTGCCACTGCCACATAACTCGTGATGCTTGTGCTACAAGCAAACAAAAGCAACTGTCAAAACAAAATATGTTTTATGTCCGAAAGGGAGTAGGGGGAAGTAAATAGTGGTTTATAGTATACGGGAGTTATCTTATCACAGCATGTTTTGGATGTAGGAGAAATTGCTTTGTAGGTAAAATATTCACAAATTTGAATTCTGAGTAGGATTCAAATGGGCAGGAATGAAAATAACAAAGATGCTTGATTGTTAGTTAATGTGATAAAATATGCAAATCTTTGATTATCAAACAGAGACAATGAACATCGCTGTTTCCTCGATAGCTTTTAAACAGATTTAAAAGAATACAATTTTGTTATTTTTGGTCCTTGTTTAACCTTTTTTGGGGTAAAAACAATATAAAATATGACATTGCCGCAGTATTATAATTATTATCATGTGGTCTTCTTTTGATTCTAAACCATGGCACACACACACATACAAACAGAAATTTAAAAAGTACAAATGAAACAAATGGAAGACAAATATTTATTTTTTGTGAGTTTAAAAGTGGATTTTAGAACCAGGGATTTACAATAACTAACATGTATTCTTGTGTGTGTGTGCTCTTCTGTGTAGGCATGACGTGCCAGGCCCGCAGCTCTTACCTGGACACAGAGGTGCTCTGGGGGTACCGCTTCACCCCCGTCCTGTCTCTGGAGAACGGCTTCTATGAGGTTGACTACAACAACTTCCACGACGTCTACGAAACCAATACCCCCGCGTGCAGCGCCAAGGAGCTCGCCGCTAAGCTACGTGAGGGCCCACTATTACCTCAGCTATCTCTGCTCAGCCCTGAACCCAAAACACATACATTTGACCCCTTGAATCCACTGACCAATCAGGATCCACTAAACCAGGAAGAGGACAAGGTGGAGACAGAGATAGGAGAGGAGAGGGGGGGTAGCAATGGTTCTGCTGCAGCTCTGGAGCAAGTGTCAACCCTGCCAGATGGACTGCCCAAGTGATGGACAATAAAGACCCTGGAAATACAGAGACAGAGGACAAAAGGACATTGGACGATACACTGCTTAATTTAATCAGCTTGTTTCATGGCAGTGCTTTGGAACCCATCTTTGTTCAACCCCATGCAATACGCCACAACTAGTCAATCTATAGTCTTCTGTAGATTGCTCACACACACTTGCACATATTTAGATACCTACCATATGTACTGTCTAATGAAAGACTGCTGTTTCTGATTTTATAATTGCAAAGACCACTTACTGCTAATCACTCCAAGTTTTATTATGTAAACTTGAGTGGACACTAGTAGCCATATCTGAGTACTATAAGGACTTACTATCAGTATTGTCTGTATGTTTGGTTCTTTCATTTTTGTATACTTCATTTTGTCTGAATCTCAAGGGGGCAGTGCCTCTTGTCCCTTGACTTGTGGAAACTCATCTTTCCCTTGATTATATGAAGTACGAGATTTGTTATTGTATGTTTATTGACTATATTTACTCAACTTGAACCACGCTGCTGTGAGCATCAGAAAATGGTTACGAAAGTCATATTTTTTTATTATCACGTTATTATTTGTATTGGCCTGTATGTCTAATGTGTCTATCATATTTGTCACATTTGAGATCCTTTCACCTTGTTTATTTGTTTTTAGTCTAGTCTTCCACTATCCAGTTGACACGTTTGATTGAAATGCCAGGTTTATTCTTAATCTTGATTTAAGAATTTGAAAACATTTATGGATTTGAAAAATAAGTCCACTGCCTTGTTTGGACATTGTTGGATGGGAGGTAAAGAATCACAAGCTCCAAAATGTTTGCATAGAATAATATTGGTTAAACTTGGTCATAGGGCTATTTGTTAATATATTTATGTTTATAACTGCAGCTAGTACACAAATACAACAGCTGTGTGTCATATTGGCACCTAAAGCACAGTTTACTGACAAAATAATGTTCCACAGTGACAAACCACTGGTCCCCGCTGATGCATGTCACTTCTCATTCAAATGACATTTAAATGCAGATGTTAATCTTTTATATATTAAAAAACTACTTGAAATCTTCCTCATTTTTCTACATTGCTCAAAAGAATATTTAATTACAAATGAAACAATATATGTCTGTTTTGTTGTTATAAATATTCAATATAAGATGAAGAATTGTTATAGCCGATAATCAGTCCTGAGATTTCCTTTTATTTGGAGTCACAGAAGGCATTTGGGATTTAACCTTTTTTTTTTTTTTTTTTCAAAAAAAAACAAACTAACTTGCATGTATGAACCCTTAATGCCCCTATTGCTTAAAAGTTTTAATACAAGAAGAACAGGGTATTTTTAGGCATGCAATTATTAATGTAACATAACCACATATTAAGAAAAAACACATTTAACTTTCCCAGTTATTTTGTTTATTTTTAATGTTTTAATTTACAAAGAAATGCTTGGCCAATGTTAGAATTTCACTGTGCATCTTGCTAAAGGATGTGAGAGAGAACGTTTTTATTACCATTGCTGATGTATGTTTGTTTTCCCATGGGATTAAACATAATATGTCCAAGAACAACATGTTTCTATTAACTACTGTGTGTTCACATGAGTGATGAAGAAGTCTGTGCACGGATCATGTCACTTAGTCTGATTCAAGCCAGAGATCAGTGATGTAACCTGCAATGAGCTGGAAAATATATTGTTATTATGGCGGAAAAAAAAAAAAACTAAACTAAAATGACTAATAAATGCTTTTACATTTCAAAAACTTCATGCTGCTCTATAAATTGTATAGAAAGCAAGAACAGTAATACAAAAGATTGATTAAATAAAAAGATGCATCTTAAAAATGATGAGGTCAAGTTAAGTTAAAGTACTGTTGTGTGGGTGGGGTTTAGACATTAGCTAAAATACATTACTACATTGCATGTTAATTGTTACGGAAAATATATATTTACAAGTACCACATTATCTGGTCTACTGTATTTTATAATAAGTTGTTTCCTCATCTGTGCTCTTAAACTACACACACCTTCACTAGAATCATTTGGATAATTTCAGCTTTAGATTTGCCAATTTCTACTGAACAAAGGGTAAAAAGTAGTGTTTAACTTGAAAACTTCCACTTCATGACATCACAAGTTGGAACAGAGCATTTTAAGATTTGGAAATGTAGACAGAGTAATAATAACTCAAACATGACTGAAACAAACTACAACTACAAACATATTTTTGAGGAAGTGTCAACATTAAAATATGGATTAAAGCTCAAAAGAATTCATTTTGTGTATTTAAGACCTTTAATAACCCTCAAATATCCATATATTAAAGGTCCGCTCATTTATTATTACGGTAATTTTCGGACTATTGAGTGGACCTGAATATAAACCACATAAAAAAAAATTTAAAGAAATAAAAGTGTACATATACAGTATAGGCCACATCTGTCTATAAGCAGTGTTAAGTGTATAAGCCTGTGTCCACATCTTCAAGAACGTTTTCAAGTTTGGGCCATCTGCTTTTATCGCCTCTGAAAGCTTTTGTCGTCTTTTTACTTTGAGCCAGTTTGTCACGCTGAAGTCGCCAAAGTCTCACCATCGACTCACTGATGCTGAGCTCACGTGCAGCAACTCTATTTCCTTCTTCGACAGCCACATCAATTGCCTTTAACTTTTCATGAGGAGGGTGTGTGCATGAAGCGCAAAATAATTGTTCAAAACACAATTCAACTAGAATCGGCACATCTTCCCCATCTCTCTACTGCGCGTGTCTCCTACAGAAAGAGTTGCTGTCCTGTCTGTATCATGTTAGTGTCTTGTTGGATTTCAGCAGATTTCAGGCTCTCTCGGGGACTAGTTATATCGATTAGGTATGAGTGAATGTCTGGCTACTGAAGTTTGAGACGTTTCTTCTTGTCATTTACGTACCCACCTGCATTTAACACATATGGGTAAGACATATCTCACTAATGTTAATTTAGCATCATAGCTTATTTTATCACACGGCGATAAACTGTTTTAGTGCGCAACCAGCGGCGCTTTCTGCTCTTAAGCTCTGCTGTGTTGCCAACCCATACACTGTATATATAAATGGACAATGTGCCAAACAAATAATCCATCCATATATTAGCCGCATCATTCTATAAGCTGCAGGGTTGAAAATGTGAGAAAAAAGTAGGGGCTTATAGTCAGGAGATTACTCTACATAGCATTAGTTGCATAATGTTCAAGTTTCCAAAAAATAAGAGCTTGCTTGTACTTACATAAACCTTTAGAGTGGCCTTTATGTGAGTGGACCACCATGCTCAGCCCAGATGGACATGCATGGGGAGGCACAATCACAGGAAACAGCTGCTCCTCTGATTAGGAAGGCCACCTTGGATATTAACTGTGTTGAGACAGACACCAACCACGAGATACTGAGTCAGCTTTTGACAACAGAGTGAACTTGGTGTTACATTCTCGTCACAAAACTCACTAGATCTCACCAAAAGTCCTGTCACAGCTATTCTGGTCCACAATATTAAATCCTGAGATGTGCAAGCTGACAGCCCTTGATTCAAATCTGAATAATGTACGATGAGGAATATAATGCGTCGGATGAATAGAGCTTAGAAATAGGTATCGCAGACAGGTGCATGACATGTTTGCATATGTGTGTGTGTGTGTGCGCACTCATGTGTGTGTGAATGGGAAGCACAGACACAATTAGCAATCCCAATCCCAACAGACACAATAGAACTCACAAATTCATGTATGAAATGATTACGCGTTTGCCAAGTTGGATGACCTCTCCAAACCTGGAATGAGTCGACAAAGGAGGGAAGCACAGAACAATGGTAGTGCTACAGGGTTGATGAAATACACTGCAGAGGGAAGCTATTTTGTTCGGGTTTGTTAGTAATGATTTTCTTTCGTTTAAATAATGCAGGGTCAGTACTAAACACAACTTAAAACTGTGCACTGTTCTTTGTATTTTCAGGTAGATACTTCTAGAGTCTCCATAGCACACAGTGTATTGTATCTTCTGGAAGATCATATGCAGCTCTGTTCAGTAATCTACTTATGCAATCGTTCTTGTTCACTGATAAGCCTCTCATTTACATATGCAGTCTGAATTAATGTCCAAGAACTTACACAAATAATTATACAGAGATTACCATAGAGATTAGCTGTTCTGGACTCCTACACCAGAAATAATAGTATGTTAACATTCTATTAGACTTAGCTTAAAGTTGCACTATGTAACTTTTCTTTTGAAGGGGCCATCAACTGCTGGACTTAATGGAGATGTTATTTCTTGCCATAAATGTTCCACAGAATGGTATTAAACTTATCTATCTGGGGACAATGGGGTCAACTTATAGATCAGATCTGTGGAGAAGTGAGCTTATTCACAATCAGGATGTATGTTTTTCAATATATTCTTGAGCAATAAAAACACAGAATTAAATGGAATAGCTTTAATGCCATATTGTGGAACGTTCCTGACAAACCACTAACAGGAAGACAAGCCGGTGACAGACCTTCAGTAAAGTTTCATAGTGCATCTTTTACAACGACTAAGCCAACCACAATACATTTTCTAACAAAAACAGTTAACAAACAAATCCAAACATAATATGATGGAAACAGTGGTTCAGAGGCTGCCCAAATATAAAGGCTGATAGTTTGTGGCCCACTATGCAGTGATGTTGTGTCCTTGGATAACTGCAACTTCATCGCCTTACAATATGGATGTAAGAGCATCTGGCATAAAAACTGGCTAACTTTTCAATTTGTTCTCACTATGTTCCTTCAATAGGGAACAAGCCTTATTTCAAGCTGTAGTGAGAGGCAATTTGTCGAATGCACAAAAATACACCATGGTTTGTGGAATAAAGCATTTCCCATTACAAAGCATCTGTAGCAGTCTTCAGCCAAATGGTTTGGGCAGAGAAACTACATCCTCCGTCCCACTTGTACAAGAGAAAATCATTTATCAAGGAGCTTTACTGTTCTTGTCAAACTGCTG